GATCCCAAAAACGCATAGTTTCTCCCCCAACAATAACCTCTCCGGTCAGAGAACACATTTGGGGATGTCTTCTAAAATGTTGAACATTCTAAGAAAGATCTGGTGGAGCTGGAGAAGAAAACCATGATTGGCCTTACTGATGAAAGGTTTATTCTATCTATTAATGAAAACCTCCTTACTGTCACTGCTCATCAAGATATCTTCCTTAGATAGAAGGCTTCCATTGCTAAGTTTATTGCTGGGGATAGAAACACTAAATACTATCATGCATGTATCAAATATATAAGAAAATACAATACTATACACAATATTCAAACTGTTGTTGGGGAGTGGTTGCATGAGAATGCTGCCATTGCACAAGATGTTGTTGATTATTTCTAGCTCCTACTAACCAATCCCACCACCTCCAAAACTCGCATTGATAAGGACTAGTTCCTTCTGGATTTCTCTTATACTTATAATTTTTCCCTGGTTGACATTCTAGATGAAATTGAAATCTGGGAAGCTTTGAACACTATTGATAGTGGGAAGACTGCTTGCCCTGATTGGTTCCTAGTGACTTCTTTTGAAAAGCCTGGAGTATCATTAAGATGGATCTAAGCAATGCAATCCAAGGCTACTTCCAAGGCCACTCCCTTCCTCACTACTTCAGCTTATCCAACATTGTTCTCATTCCCAAGACAGTTGATCATTTTAAATCGATTCAATACAAACCTATCAGCCTCACTACTGTCATCGGTAAAATCATAAGAAAAATCATTCTAGGAAGACTTCAACCCCATTTATCCAATATTGTCACACCCAACCAAGCTATTTTTGTCAAAGGCAGGTCCATTGCTGATATTGTCCTTCTTGCACAAGAAATCTTCCTTGATTTGGATAAACCCTACAGAGGTGGAAACCTATTCTACAAGCTGGACATTAGAAGGTATATGACACCATCAATTGAGACTTCATTATGAAAATACTCACAACTAGAAGATTCTCTACAAGTTCTGTAATATTATATGCAGATGGCTGAATGATAATGCACATTTCATTTTCACTAATGGGCGGTCACATGGATGCTTTACAGCTTCTAGGGGATTACAGCAGAGAGATCCTCTATCCCCCACTATTATCATCCTAGCTATGGATTATCTATCCATATTGCTGAACAAAGCTATCTTATCCCACCAATACTCCAGGTATCATCATGAATCTAATTTGGATATCTCACGTCTCATATATGCAGATGCTTTTATGATTTTTTCTGAAGCCAACAAAGCGGTTATGAAGAAGGTAAAAAATTGCCTCTAAGCTTTTGAACACTACTTTGGCATGCAATTCAACCCTTAGAAATTTATGCTATTGATCAACACCAGAACCTACCAAACATCAAACAATGGATAATGTAGCTCACTAGTTATACAGTTGTCAATTCCCCACTTAAATACTTAGTAGTCTCTCTCTTTAAAGGCAGAGCTAAGCAAGTTCAATTTGAAGAGGTGTTGGGGAAACCAAAGCTATAGCTATTTACTAGTACATCAAGTTGGCCACTATGAACAATTAGGACTCTCTGCAAATAGAAATGGACTCTACCCTATTGCTCCAATTCTTATCTAACACTGACACCCCCCTTGGCATATTTCACAATGATTCAAAAAGATTCACCAACTCAGGACTATTTTTAAAGTTCATCTCTTCTTTATCTTTAGGGAGGATAACAGACTTGTTAACTGGCTTGTCAAATTTGGATGTATATTTAATCATGCTATTGTATCCTCTACCCCCCCTCCACCCCTTTCCCTTCTACTTCATGAGGACCTTCTTGTTGTTCCCTAACTTAGAATTGTAACTTTTTGCTGAGTTATATATATATATATAATTCCACCTATATGTACTCAAAGAGTAACACCTAGTAGCAATATATTGACAAAAAAAGTGTTACAAGATTCAGAAAAGGAAAAGGACATAGGTATATATATATATATATATATATATGAACCTTCTGAGAAGGAAATCTGGGGGGCGCTTTGCACTATTGATGATAATAAAGCGGCCGGATCATATGGTTTCACAACTCACTTCTACATAAAATATTGGAGCATTGTCAAGGAGTTGTAGCTGCGATACAATGTTCTTTAGCTGGAGAAATCCATGTAAATGCTCTTCTACGTCCACCATTGTACTTATTCCAAAAGAAAACTTCAAAGATACGCGAGATCACTTTCGCCCAATATGCCTTATTCGGTCATAGTGAAAATTATCAACAAAATTTTGGTTGCAAGATTACAACCTCATTTACTCACTATTATTACAATGAATCAATCGGTCTTCATGAAAGGACGGGATATCACAGATAATATACTATTGGCTTAGGAATTGATTCATGATTTAGACAGGAAGTGCATTATGAATCTAGACTTAAAAAAGGCATATGAAACTATTTGATGGGACTTCATAGTACATGTGCTATAGTTTTAGTCCAGAGTTCTGCAATTTTATATCTCATTGGCTGGGGCAGTGGAAGGGGGAGAGGGGGGTGGGGGGAAGATAATTATGCGATTCTATTGAATATTAAATTTTATGATCTTTTCAAAACTAGTAGAGGGATTAAGTAGGGCGACCCTCTTTCGCCTAATAATTTTTTCCTGGCCTTCGATTATTTCTCTCGCATGATTAATGAG